CCTACTTTGGTTACATGCAGCTTCAGTGTCTGTTATGCCCTTTGGACCTTTTCAAGAGTCTGGGACTAAAAAGGTCATAAGACATGATTTTTGCCCTTGAGGAACTGAGAGTGTTAGGAGAGATCACAATGGTGGTAGGTGGTCTAACAGAAGTATCGGCAAAGGAGGCACCGATAGCCCCTGGGTGGCTTGGTGAGAATCCTTGCATGCCGTTCTGCCCTTGTTGGCTCCCCTGGGACAAGGGCATATTCACTTAGGGTGACAGGAAGAGGAAAGCGGGCGAGGGAGGGGTTTCCCCTGTGCCAGGCCTGGTGATACAATAGAAGTGCCGTGTTTCTGAGACCGAATAAAACAGTGGCTCCTCAACCTAGCTTCATGTTAGAACTATACATAAAATATATTAAGAAAAATGCTGATTCTTAGGTACTCCCAGTCCAGGTATAAAATATGTGAGGTATCTTATAACTTTCAGAGTATGGGTCTTTTACTTCCTTGTTTAAATTTATTCCTAGGTATTTTTGATACGGTTGTATATGGGATTATTTTATTAATATATTTCTGATAGTTCATTATTGGTATATAAAAATTCAACCAATTTCTAAATATTAGTTTTGTATCCTGCTACTTTTCTGAATTCATTTATCAGCCCTAATAGTTTTTTGGTAGAATCTTTAGGGTTCTCTAGATATATGTCATTTGCAAATAATGACAGTTTTACTTCCCCCTTTCCAGTTTGGATCCCTTTTATTTCTTCTTTTCTGACTACTGTGGCTAGGACTTTCAGTAACATGTTGAATAAAAGTGGTGAAAGTAGACATCCTTATCTTATTCCTGATTTTAAGGAAAATGTCTTTAACTTTGCACCGTTGAGTATGATGTTAGCTGTGAATCTGTCATACATAGTCTTTATTATGTTGAATAGATCAGTGAAACAGAATAGAGAGTCCAGAAAGAAACCTATGCCTATATGGTCAATAATATTTGACAAAGGAAGCAAGAGCCTCCAATAAATGGTGCTGGGAAAACTGGACAGATACATGCAAAAAAATGCAGCTAGGCCACTAACTTACACCATACACAAGAATAAACTCAAAATGGTTGAAAGACTTAAATGTAAGACCCGAAACCATAAAACTCCTAGAAGAAAACATAGATAGTAAACTTGGTGATATTGCTCATATATAAACATATATATATGTATACATATAATATATATATTTGGATATAGCTCCTTGGGCAAGGGAACCAAAAGAAAAAATAAACTAATAGGGCCACATTAAACTAAGTTTTTGCACAGCAAAGGAAACCATCAACAAAATGAAAAGACAACCTACTGAATGGGAGAAGGTTTTCACCAATGATACATCAATAAGGGGTTAATATCCAAAATTTATAAAGAATTCATACAACTTAACCCCCCAAAAACAAACAAAAACAAACCACCAAACAATCCAATTAAAAAGTGGGCAGAGGCCCTGAATAGACATTTTTCCAACTATAACATACAGATGGCCAATAGACATATGTAAAGATGCTTAATGACACTAATCATCAGAGAGGTGCAAATTAAAACCACAATGAGATACCACCTCCTACCTGTCAGAATGGCTGCCATCAATAAGTCAACAAACAACTGTTAGTGAGGGTGTGGAGAAGGGAACCAGAGGGAACTGTTGGTGGGAATGCAGATTGGTGCAGCCACTATTGAAAACAGTATGGTGGTTCCTCAAAAATTTAAAAAAGAACTACTGTAGGACCCAGCAATTCCACTTCTGGGCATCTTATCTGAAGAAATTCAAAACACTAATTCAAAAAAAATGCATGCATCCCTATGTTCTTTGCAGCATTATTTACAATAGCCAAGATATGGTGTCCTTCAATAGACAATTGGATAAAATGTGGTACATATATACAATGGAATATTACTTGGCCGTAAAAAAAGAATGAAATCTTACCATTTGCAACAACATTGAGGGACCTAGAGGGTATTATGCTAAGTGAAATCAGACAGAGAAAGACAAATACCATGTGATTTCTCTTGTATGTGGAATCTAAAAAACAAACAAACAATACAGACTCATAGATACAGGGAATAAATTGATGGTTGCCAGATGGGAGTGGGATTGGCGGCTGGTTGAAAAAGGTGTAGGGATTAAAAAGTACAAACTGACCGTTACAAAATATGGGAATGTAAAGTACAGCATAAGAAATATAATCAGTAATATTGTAATAACTATGTATGGTACCAGGTAGGTTCTAGACTTATTGGCAGATCATTTCATAAGGTATATAAATGTCTAACCACTGTGCTGTACACCTGAAACTAATATAATGTTGAATGTCAACTGTAATCGAACATTTAAAGTCCATGGACTTTTTGAAGAATACTTTTAAAAACTTAGCATGCTGTAGTTTGTCAGTCTGCAAATATTTATTGGTGCATTCTGTGTGCTGTGGCCTATTTCAGGCACCCAGTGTACAGGAGGAGCAAACAGACCACAGTCCTGCCCTTCAACAGGAGGCGGGCACATCGAATCAACATACCCCTAACTGAACTCAGTTTCTTACTAACTTGCTCTTCCACTTGAGTTCCCCTGTCTTAGTGAGAAAATTATTCACCCACATGCACAGAGCAAAAACTTTGTCATCCTTGACTCCGTCTGCCGTCTCACTCCCCTGTGACCACCAGGTCCTGCTGCTCAGGACGCCTGCGTATCTCGTATCCCTTCGCTTCTTCCCTGCTCTCAGCATTTTAAGTTGACTTCTGCCTGTCCCTCCTCCAGTCCATTCTCAACCTTGCACCTTGAGGGCTCTTTTGAAAACAAAAGTCCTTAGCCCTTAACCTTTTAAATTAAATTTTTGTATATTAAATAAATTTAACTTTATTTTTGACCATTAAAAATTTTGTATGTTTAGGGTATACATCATGCTGTTTTCATATATGTATTCATTGTGAAATGATTACCACAACGAAGCTAATTAACATATCCATCACAAATCCCAGTTACCTTTTTTAAATGTAAGAATACTAGAGGATAATATTCTCTTAGCAAATTTCAAGTATATAATACATTATTATTAATGTCACCATGCTGTACATGAGGTGTCCAGACCTTACTCCGCTGACCCCTGAAAGTTTGTACCATGTGCTCAGTATGTCCTCCTTTGCCCACACCCCACCCCACCAGCTTTTTGGTCACCACCACCATTCATTCTACTATGAATTTGAGTTTTTTTTCCTTTTTTTTTTTAGATTCCACACATAAATGAGATGTGACATTTGTCTTTCTGTGCCTAGCTTATTTCCCTTAGCACAATGGCCTCCACTTTGTGGGGTGTGTGTGAGTGTGTTTGTAGAGGTGTGGGGTGTGAGTATGTATGAGTGTGTAGAGGTGTGGGGTGTGAGTGTGTGTAGAGGTGTGGGGGGTGTGTGTGAGTGTGTGTGTGTAGAGGTGTGGGGTGTGTAGAGGTGTGGGGTGTGTAGAGGTGTGGGGTGTGTAGAGGTGTGGGGGGTGTGGGGGGGTGTGTGTATGAGTGTGTGTGTGTGCGTATCACATTTCCTTTATCCATTCATGTGGTGATAGATACTTAGGTTGTTTCCATATCTTGGCTTAGCCTTTAACTTTGTAAAGTTTTTATGATTTGGCTTCCATTTTCTCTTGTAACACAATTATCTTACCAAGTGGCAAAAACAATAAATCATTGCACCCCCAGTATGAAGAATGTGTACCTTCACTGGCAGTGCAGTTTTCAGGTAACCGGTGCCGTCTTAGTTTTCATTAAACACCCTCACTTATCACGTTAAGTAAGGTTCTATGAATATAAATTGTGACATTACCTTTGTAAATGGTTTTAAATTTGTCTTAGTTATGTGAGATAGAATTATAAGGAGTTTGTATTTATTATATTTCTATATATTAGAATAACATCCTAAAAATAATTAAGACACCTGGGAGAATGGGCTGAGAGAATTTCTTTTCTTTAAAAGGGATTAGTACACTATTAAATTTTGAGAAACATCACTCTGTAGAGTCAATGAAGGCAGGGACCGTATCATAGTTGCTATTATATTCTCAGGTCCTAAGCCTGTGCGTGGCACACAGTAGATAATCAGAAAATATTTCTGAATTAGGGAATGCTTTCTTCTCATGTATAAACACATACATTTTGTAACTGTGCTTCAGTTTCTTCATTGCATGCTTCCCAGTGAGTCTGTCAAAACCTCTGGAGCTAAGAGTTTTGCCTGAGTGTTTTCTTTTTTTCACCTTTATGATCCTGGTCATAGTACTTTCACAAATTAAAGGATAATTATTCATTTTGAAAACACGCCAGTACAAAGCTACACTAAGCTGTAATCTCTCTGAATTTATAGCACAGAAGCTTTTATCCCAGCCTAGACTGACCAATAGGTAAAACTTGGGTACATTAAAAAAGTTACCTAATGTATTTCTATAACATATGATTATATTTTTTATTTACATTTTGAAATAATTTTAAACTTACAGAAAATTGCAAAAATCATACAGAGTTCCCATATGCCTTTCACTCAGTTTCCCCTAAGAATAACAATATGCACATTATCTGAAACAAGAATTAACATTGATTGCTTCAGAATTATGAACTCACCTATAGACATTATTCACATTTCACTAGTTGTATTAATGTCCCTCCCATTTCAGAATCCATCCCAGGGCTCTCCCTTGCATCTAGTTGTCATGTCCCCTTGCTCTTCTCCAGTGTGTGACAGTTGCTCAGTCTTCCCTGGTCTTTCATGAACTTGACACCTTTGATGAGTACTAGTTACTTTATAGAATGTTACTAAACTTGGGTTAGTGTTTTCTCATGGTTAGACTGAGCTTTACCTTTTTGCCAAGAATACCAGGGAAGTGATGTGCTCTTATCAGTGGATCATCAGGGTATATATGTTGATGTGTCTTATAATTACTGGTATTGTTAACATTGATTACTTGGATAAGTTTTTGTTTACCATTAACAGAAAAATAATGTTGGCTAAAATATAATCTCATGTAATTTTGTTTATATGAAATACAATCTGAAGGACTTTAGCCCTGTGTAAATTTAAATTCTTATGTTTAATTGCAGAATCTGTTATCTGAAAAGGTAGAACAGCTGATGGAATGGAGTTCCAGGCGCTCAATCTTCCGAATGAATGGCGACAAATTCAGAAAATTTATAAAGGCACCACCTCGAAACTATTCTATGATTGTGATGTTCACAGCTCTTCAGCCTCAGCGGCAGTGTTCTGTGTGCAGGTAATCAATGCATTTCAAAATTTTAAAACACTAGTCTCCCATGCTTATATATTTATTTTGTTATATGCAAGATAAATGCACATAATAGAATTAAACATTTGTCCAATGTTTTGGTCAAATGTAACTATGAGCATTTAAAAATAAGCTAAAAATCATTGTATTCTAGGAAATGACATTGCTAGGCCAATATCCATTTATTGTATAACATATTTATTGACCATTTCCACATGTAATCATGAAAAATATTTGTTATCTTTATGTCCTATATAAAGGTAAGAATGTGATAGAATTTGGTGTGAATATTGCCTCGTAGGTTATCTAATTATATTTTGTAGACAGTGAAGTAGCCCCCTTAGATGTAATCTATTATAACAGTTTAATAGAGGACACTCTTACTAGGGAAGTCCATTCCTGTGAAATAGAAATAAATAATTTGAAATGCATGAAATATTTTCTAGTAGGAACATACTGAGAAAATTTTGGACAAGTACAAATATAATACATATGTAGCAAATGCTGTTTTTTAATTAAACTTTTTGTTCTGAGATAATTGTAGGCTCGTGCGCAATTGTAAGAAATAATACAAACAAATCATATATCTTTTACCTGTTGTCCTACAGTGGTAACATCTTGCAGAACTATACACAGTATCACAAGCAAAGTGTTGGTGTTGATACAATCAAGATACAGAACATTTCCATCCCCGTGAGAACCTTTCCTCTTGCCCGTTATTGCCACCCCCACACATCCATTCCAGTCCCCACCTCCAGAATTTGTTCTTCACTTCTGTATTTTATCAGGACTGTTATATAAGTGGAGTCATACAGAGTCTGACCTTTTCGGTTTGGTTTTTATTTGCTTTCTGTAATTCCCTCAAAATCCATCTAAGTCGTTGCATTTATCAACAGTTTAATTTTTTTATTACTGAGTAATATGTTATGATACGTATGTGCCACAGTGTGTTCAACCATCAGTCTGTTAAAGGACATCAGTGTTGTTTCTAGTTTTTGGCTATTACAAATGCAACTGCTGTGAAAATTCTTGCACAGCTTTTTGTGTGAACTTAAGTTTTTGTTTCTCCGGGCTAAACACCAGACAGTGTGGAGCTTGGGTTGTATGGTGGTTGCATGGTCAGCTTTATAAGAAATTTTCTAAGTGTTTCCCAGAATGGCTGTATCATTCTACATATCCACCAGCAGTGTGTAAGAAAGGTAGTTTTTCCATTCCCTCACCAGCATTTGGTGTTTTCACTATTTTATTTTAGCCATTCTGATAGGGATGGAGTGCTATCTCATTGTGGTTTTATTTTACATTTCTCTAATGGCTAATGGTACTGAACATCTTTTTCATGTGGTATTTCTCTTGTTGAACATTGTTTCACATGCTTATCTGTCATCCATATGTCTTCATCAGTGTCTGTTCATGTCTTTTGCCCATTTCTAATTAGAGTTTTCAGTTTTTTGTATATTGTAGATGTTAGCCTGTCAGATGTGTGGTTTTCAGATATTTTCTTCTAGTCCATGGCTTTCTTTTCATGCTTATAAAAGGGGTCCTTTGCAGATTTTAATTTTGACGAGGTCCAATTTATCACTTTCTCCTTTTACAGTTCTTACTTTTCTTGTCATTTGAAGAACTCTTTGCTTAGCCTTACATCCCCAAATTTATTTCCTCTGTTTTTTCCTAAAAGCTTTATGTTTTACATTTTGATCTGATCTTTGGGAGAAAACATTCAGTCTTTCATTGTTAAGTATGATATTGCGGTAGGATTTTTATAGAAGTCCTTTGTCAAGTTGTCCTTTGTCAAGTTCGTTATTTGTAGTTTGTTGAGAGTTTTTACCCTGAATGGGTGTTGGATTTTATCAAATTTCTATTGGTGTGAATTGATATGATTTTGCTGCGTTAGCCTATTGGTATGCTGGATTACACTGACTGATTTTCAAATATTGGACCAGTCTTACAATTTGGACTAAATCCCACTTAATTGTGGTATACTCTTCTTTTTCTGCATTGCCAGATTCTCTTTGCTAATGTTTTGTTCAAAAAATTTCATCTAAGTTTATGATAGCTATTAATCTATATCATTTTTATGCTGTTTTGTCCAGTTTTGGTACCAGGGTAATATTGACCTCATAAAGTGAGTTGGGAAATGTTCCCTCCTCATTTATTTTTCTGGAAGAGCTTGTGAAAAAATTACACAGTTTTAGAAGATTATGTTACTACTTCTTTGAATGTTTGATAGAATTCTCCAGTAAAACCATTTGGTCCTGGAGATTTTTTTTTTATATATATTCCATTTCCTCAGTGGTTAAGGATAGCTTGGGTTTATTCTTGGCTGACCTCTTGACCATTTTTCCCCCCCAAAACAATTGCTTTTTGGGTGGTGGCTCCACGTCCAAACTCTGCACATTGTGTATTCATCCATCTGTGGGCCTTATTTAGGTTTCTGAACCATTGTGTACTCTGGTGGAAACGGAGGTTATTAATGACAAGTCAGTTTTGTTCAGACGAGCTTGCAGAAAGGGAAGTTTAGTGTTCTGAATTTTTTAAGAAGGACCTTCTCACAGCCTAGTAATGAGCATATATTGGGACATAGCTAAAAGTGGGTAGAGAATGTGGTGAACAGAAGTGTTTTGAAAAATAGCACTTCAGATGCTTCTGAATCCCCCCCTGTCAAATTTGAGAATCAGTACTCAAGTGAGCATCAACACCATTGCCAGAATTGGGATAGCACGTATGGACAGGGAAGGTATATATGCTTAAGGGATGCTGTGAAGCTCCAGGCAGGCAAAAATACCGCCTTAATTGACATTTTAGTGTAAGAATTCAGTTTCCCCTAAAAATATAAAATGTCTTTTGAATGGTATAATACCATAAATATTTTAGGAAAATAATTTGCTTGTTCCTGAAAATTGAATACAATGATTCCCTATATTCACCACTATGTGAAAAAATACAAGTATTTGATCATTGTATTTCTGGCAAGTGTAGTCTAGAAATACTTTATTATCAAAGTATTTATTTCACAGTTACATGTAATTTTATGTATTCTGATAACATTAACCATAACATACTGTTAAATAACATCTCTAGGTAATATTTTACTTAATGCATTATGTTGTTTAATGAATTGTTAAATATGGACCCTTAATTTTTTTTTTTTTTTTTTTTATTGATCTTAGAGAGTAGAATGGAGGGAGAGAGGGAGAGAGAGAGAAACATTGATGTGAGAGAGAAACATCAGTCAGTTGCCTTCCGCACGTGCCCCTACTGGGGATAGAACCCACAACCTGGGTGTGTGCCCTGATCAGGAATCGAACCTGCCCCCTTTTGGTGTATGGGATGCTGCTGCAACCAACTGAGCCACACTGGCCAGGGCTGGACCTTTAATTTTTAAAATGACACAGCTCAAAATAACCTGTTTGCTTATTTTAGTCTATTTTGTAATAAATTTTTACATTTTAGGATAGTTTTAGACTTATGAGAGAAAACGATTGAAGTTATTAGAAAAAGTTAAGATAACTTGTGGATCAGGGTGGTGGGTTGTTAGAGAAGTGAGAAAGAACAGGTGAAGCTTTGGGTACGAATAAAAAATGTAGAGTAGATATGTGGTTCCCGTACTCAGACATTTTGATTTAATTGTTTTGGGATAGCCCCAAGGCCATCAAAAACATGATCTAGGTAATTCTAGTGTGCAGCCAGTATTGAGAAAGGGAAGGTAAGAAGTAAGTTCATGATTCTTAGTTTTTATTTTCCTTGAGGAGCAATGAGAATAGGTATACTAGTTGGATGACCATAAAGCATTGAGGATCCCTTTTGAAACTAAAATACCCAACCTCTTAGTGAGGAATCTGTAGAATTAAATCATTTTCTGCCCCAATACTCAGCAATTGAGGAGCAAGAACATCGCCCTTAGGAGTCAGCATGTTTGGTGTATGGTGTGAAGTGTATTAGGCAAATGCTTTGAGAGTATTAGTGAGAGAGTATATTCGAAATGTGTAACTATGGGTTCAAAGTTGGATAGGGGGTCAAAGGAGGCCAGAGAACAGCTGATAACCTGGGTGTGATATAATGACGCTATATTTTCTCAAGAGCGAAGAGCAGATTTTGTGTAAAAACAGGATAGAGTTGAAAATTAAGAAGCAGTCATAAAGGGCTTACTTAGTAAATAATTTACTGAAGTATAATACAGATGGTTGTTGTTGTAGAGAAGCTTGAGGAACGCTAAGGCTGTGGTGATGTCTAGATTAAACCATGTGTGCTGAAATTGCTCAGGATGATGATGGAATTGGAGAGGAAGAAAATGAAGTGAGCCGGTAGGGGGATGCCTTGGAGTTTGTTAGAGGAGGCTGATCAATTTATATCATAGAGTAATAGAAATGCCAAGGAGGATTTGTTAAATAATTGTGGATGAGCAGTGTTCTGAGATTTACTATGTGGAGCCAAGAGAAGTACCATGCCCCCTATGATAGTGGGCAGAGCGGATCAAAGAGAACTCAAGAAAAAGGTAAAATTATTCAAATTATATTCTTGTATTCTAAATTTAGCCCCAGAGGGAGTTGTAGATTCACTGAGAGAGACACCCTATCATGAGCAGCCATCTTTTCTTTTTGAACATGAATTAAATTCTAGGTCCTTTTATGCCAATGGAATTTTGCACTATTTTTTATAAAACGTCTATAATTTTTATAATTCTGTAGAATTATTTTATAGCTACAATTTTGAAATCTTAGTGCTTTCTTTTGTGAGACTTTCTCCTTTTTCTTTAAGACATTTTCTCTAGAGTTAACTCACACTTAGACTCTCTAGTTGCTTTCAGGCTGGTGAATGAGCTGTTGGCTTCCTTGTAAGCCCTCTTAGCAAATCATTCTGCTCTTCCTTCACACAGTCACTTTATTCACAAATTTCAGAATTCAATTCTCACCTTCTTCAGTGCTAACATTGAACTCCTGAGCCAAATAAAGTTGTTAATTAAGACTACTCAATATAATTCTCACCTCCCT